TGCTTGTGAAACGTCAAGAAGAAATTCTACCGAACGGCGGCCTAAAATCCCTAAAAAACCCATTAGTTTCATTAGATTAATTATTAAAATGCTGAGAAAACTAGTTTGAAACATAGTCAGTGCTAAAATACATACATTTCAATGTTAGGATTTCTAGAAAAAAGTGATGGCAGCGATGGATGCACCTAAAAACTTGCCTATAAATGTCCCGTTCCGGTCCGGTAAATAGATGGGTGGGTAATTACTGGTTCCGATGCCAGTTACGTAACATTCAATAATTATTAATGGAAAAAAACTGATATTACGGTAGATCTCGTGATTGGCATAGAAAGCTACCGATTGAAACGAAAAACTACATTATAAAAAACCTTTTAGTTTGGGAGCATTGCACTGCTTCCTCTGTATAGATAAACAGAATTTCGCTCTTGCTAACTGCCACACTTTCAGTTACAAAGACCACTTTGGAAATGTCAAGGTGTCGTTGCCGAAATCGGAAATCCAGTATCGTTTGGCTTGCGAGCTTTGTTTTTTTTTTACTTACAATTTCACGATTCTGTACAGTGTGCGGCTTTTGAAACGAAAATAAAACAAAAATTGGCGACATCAAAAGAGTTTACTTAGTTAGTTTATTAGTTACTCAAGAGAATTTAACTTAAAATCACTGGCAAGAATCGCACCTACATACATAAAAATCCATTTGTGTAAAGCAATACAAAGTTATTTGCCTTCCCACAGAGAAATTGTAGGAAATTTGTTTGACCTTTTGGGTCTCACGCTGCATCTCCGCAGATCGCGCAAGAATGCAAAATGGTACACGATTACTTTTACTTTCTACAATGTCGTGTTCGATTCCCTGTGATGAAGATCGTATGCGATCATGCGATATCTGCGAATATTTCTTAAGACATCGGTCGATTGTCGAATGGGAACAAACACGATTGTAGACAGGGAAAAATGATACCACTCACAACAAATAAATAGGAAAAGGTAGGATAGCAATTGCCCAACATTCTGCTAGCAAAAAAAACATCATTGTTGCGATTTTCAAGTACTTTAATGCAACATTTTATTTGAACCAGTTTTTGAGCAGATGCCATGTCTTCCATTGCAATCAATAACTATGTTAGTCTCAACTCAGCAACGTGAACAATCCTAAATTGACATGGCAATTAATTAGTCTCGAGCAACTATGATTTCACAGTAGCTTGACAAATAATCATGTAACATTAATTTTCTTTGGTTGGGGATTATGCAAACGAAAAAACCACCATCGAATAATAGCAAAATCCGGAAGATTCCTGCCAAATTACCGGATTATTACAATTAGATCAGATTGCAGCAGAATCTTGGCATTATGAGAAAGTATGTGAAGAAACATCGCTAAATCTATTTAACTCGAAAGTGAAAGGCGCATAATTTACTGCTAATCAGGCAAAGAATCCGCGTCTTATCGAATCAGTTGTTGAATGAACGAAAATGTTTAAATCAGTAACTGAATTTAATATCAAACTTTTGCTTCATCTTGTACTTCTTCCGCACATGGAACCTTGTCACATTCATACTGCTCCTCGACAGCCTGCGCCTGGTTAGTACCGCTGGGATTTTCCTGCAAATCTACAATCTGAAATATATTGAAAAGATGTGGTAAAATCAAAATATGTTTTGCCAAAACCACAAAGGAATACAGAAACAAAACTTAACTTCGGTAAAGTCAATAAATGGAATAATAGAATTCCGCCTTTGAACGCTCTGACTAATAAAGTAGGAAAAATACTCTATAGATTATCAGCAGGTTATAAGTTGAACAAAAGCACCTACTAGTTGCTTAACTGAAGCTAAGGTCTCATTGCTAGTGCTTCTGCTAGTCGACTGGTCATATACGGGGTTCTCAAACGAATGATTCAAATTGACTAGGGAACTGGACCTCGATGGGACAGTATCGATAGTGCAACCTCTGTCGTGGATGTTGTCATAGCGAAGCACGTAGGTGGCCAGGGGCCTACTGCCTAAGAGACTAAATAAGTCCAGAGTCAGAGCAAAGGGCAAAGTCAAGGTAGCACAATCTCACCGGGTTCGAATGTCCACGTTTCCAAATACGGGAGAAAAGACTAACAGTAGCAGTCCGAAAACGAGGATGGCCACCAGGAGAGAACCCAAAGTCATTGATATAGCATTCTTAACAATTTTATAGCTGTCGCTTAGTGGGGGACCGGACAGCAATAACTGAATGTCGCCGGAATAGTACGAGTTATCTGGAAATTACATCATTTAAACTAGACAGAGTCTAGTATAAATAGTAGCAACAAAAATATAATGGCAAATTGAATCATGAGAAGAATGTGCAACAGTAATGACTACACTTCTGATCATCAGGTTTTTGCTCCGAATAAAGGCTGGGTCACATCTATCCGATCCGTCTCCGTTTTTGTATCCGATCATGTTCCGATTTTGCTGGCTATTCGATGGGTATTTGCTATCCGATTGTCCGATTGTCGGAAGGAAAAACGGTCCGCATTTTAGGTTGCGTCAGTGATACATTTGGTTCTTAATGGACAATTATCTACAGTAAGCTGTGATATTTGAATATTTTGATTGGGCTTACATAATTTTACTGATAGAAAACAAACTCAATTATTAATAATGCACATGATTCGTCGCAAGTATTCATTTATATTACTGTTTACACAGCAACTGTATGTAAGGACTCTGGCAAGGAATATTGGAAAAATAACTACTACTGTACATTGTAAACTGTTCATGGAAATTTATTTACTACTTCAGGTTTTAATGTTTTAATTCAACCCCTCATTTTGTAGACATTTTTATTCTCTACAAATCATCTCGTTGGGCATTCCGATTACTCCATTATGATATGATATTATAAACAAAAAATCAAAAATCGCACCGCATTGAATTTTTGGCAATAAATTGTTAATAACTAACATATGGACCGGAAATTCGAGTGGAAAACAAATCCCTATTAATCTGATTATTATCTTTTATATAATCGCTCAATTAGTTTGCTACTAGTCTTTTTGTCACGTTACGCCATTTTTAAATATCATGTTAGTTTGGCTTAATTCGGCAAGCTATAGTTTCCTAAAAGAGCCTAAAAACATAAAATAAAGTCTTATATCTAGTTCGGCGATCAGTTTTCGATATTCAAAGTAAACCATCCGAGTGTCTATATGAAAAACGGTAAAGCCAATTAATACACTTGGACTAGGGCTCGAAATTTTTAAAAATCTGATATTTGACTATGAAGGCTTTCCCGGCCGGTTAAATCACATTTAGGAATGTTTTCCGGGCTTTGAAGCCGTGGTCTATGAGAATTTCTTCCTGACGTTTCGTCCACAACTGCGGTGGACATTATCAAAGGCGATGAGGCAGTGGGCGAAGTGATCTCCCGTGCTTTCCGACTAAGA